TAGTTGGGGAGAGGCTTCCGCGTTGAAGATTGAGTTGTAGGCCTAGGATAGAGTTAGCTGCTGAGGGATTGTAGATCTAAAGTGAGGTACGTACGGGCATCTTGAAAGTTGTGTTGTGGTTTTATTTGGGACGTGGAGGATGGAGGGGTCGTCGTCAACTTGAGCTTGGAAGGCTGACGGAGTTGATGACTAAGCATCTAAGTGCCCCTAACACGCTGGCGCCTGAAGCTTTCATTTTCAGGTTCAGATTATTCTTTCTTCAATAACATAAAACAATATTTTCACTTTGTTTGTTATTTCTGAATGTCATGTATGTGGAGATATGTTATATATCTAGGATATCAATTATAGACTGTACCATAGTTATATGCCGTTCTTGCTTCAATCGAGTTCTTCAAATCTGGTTGATATGTCATTAACTGTTCCGTTATGGCGTATGTTTTATGCTAGGTATGGCTCCTCATAGCTATGTTGATTAGTGTCAGCGTAGAGAAGATGATGTGGGATCATGAGTTGGTGGGTGTATTTAACCAGCAGTTTCTAAAGTTCTTCAAATCTCTTGTGCAAAGCTTTCAGAGGACGACAAGAGCGAGTTTGAGGCTCTTTTCCAGTCCAGTTGACCACCAGAGTCCAACCTAGCTCTGGTGCCCGATTGTCAAACTCGGAGACGCAAAGGTCGAATATTCGGCTGGGGTCCTGCAGAGTAACATATACTGCATTGCTTTACCCCCGAGGAATAGGGTAAAGTGCCGCGGTATAGTCTTGCTTATCTCACAAATCTGAGAACGAGAGGCGCACAACGCTGTGGCTCTCAAGGAGGGCCGTTAGGGTTCGTACAGCAAATTGGGAAGGTTACTCAAGATTGGACTACAAAGAGCAACTTTCCCCTATAATTGCGACTCGCAATGTTCGAATTGAGGTACGAGGCTCAAGTGAACCTGAATTAAGGCCAGAGTGGAGAATAATACGAAACAATATATATTGGCGAATATGAGAGGCGTCCATACGGACTGCAATGCAGATTTGTCATACTATATTGAACCTATACAATTAAGGGTATATTATATTGGTGTGTTATTCTCCACACTGAATAAGGCGTAGTGATTATACTTGTCGTACGGCTTCGCTTCTCAACTTTATGTTTTATATTTAGTTCAACCCACCTACACTTACTATGCCAGTATCTATGGGAACTTTAGAGCTGTAAAAACCTCTCCAGACCTCTAATTATCAGCATATTTAATTACAAAAAATCCATACAGCGCTCTTTTCAGACAACAACAACATTAGCCTGTGTAAAAATCTCACTCCACTGCTTCTTGCTCAACGTCAATTGAAGCATCCCAGATGAGAGTCCCGTGGTAAAAATTGTCGAACGCGGCGAGACAATGCCACCCGCTGTGAATCCTCCATCACAAACATTCAGGCACGTGGGACACCTATGATATACAAACTCGGCCGTCGTCCTGGCAGGCTTTTTCTCCTCACTAGCAGCCTTCTGTTTCTTCGTCTGCTTTCCTTTCCCCTGATTTCTCCTCTCCGTCTTCAGAACTGTACTTGCCCTCGTGTTCCGCCTCGGCTTTTTTTCTTCCTTTTTGGGCTTATTGTTATCTTCGTCGTCGTCGTCGTCATATTTTGGCTCCTTTATCGTACTAAAGCAAAAGTAACGTCATTAGTAGGGAGGGGGGCATATGGTCAAGGACATGGGAGACAGTACCGGAGACCGTGAGACTCTGCTCTGTCGCAGAGTATACAGCTCTTGCCCTTTGTCCATATCCAATCGTGGGGCTTACAATAGTTTTCGTGCGTTATACAGCCATATTTCTCCGGGTTTGTGGAATGTCTGCAGTTCCCAGGGTATCCGCTGACGGGACCACTCGCGCCTGGGCTGTGGTGAACTACCCTGCTTCCTTTGCCGTGGGGCATGATTGTCGACTTTTCAATACTACTATTTATACGCCAAGCTCTGTAATCAATCTTGTCGAAATAAAATTTAGATTACTTAGTGAGGATGACTAGATAATGGCATTGAAGTGCTAAATAATTTCTTCCGGTTGTCTTTTATACTATCAGTGAAGAAGCAAGGACTTGCTCAATGAAAAATCAAAGTTCTTTATCTGCTGTTTGATAGCTTCCCATCGAGTCCGGAATTGCAGCCGCATTTTAAGCATGCAACAAAGGCACAGTTGTGTCTCAACGGTATTCATTGTTCCTCGCACCTCAAGTGGATATGAGGCGGCACCGACCTGAAAGAAATCTGGGAACCTCTGTTTAGTGTAGCCGGAATATCTCGAACCCATATTCCTCAGGAATCTTCTCGAACTTCTTGTCTTTCCACGAGTCCATATTTTTGCCATCCAAGGCTTCACCGTCCATTATACCCCACAAAAAACACTCCCCGAGTAGTAGATGATGGTCACCTTCTTTCCTAGATTAACAGGAAAGTGTTCTACCTAAAGGCACTCCAAGATTCAACCCCCTTTCATGATAAAATTGCCACAGCGTTTGTCTTTCATGAAGGAACACGACTTGTTTATCAAATTCTATGCCAAAGTTAAATTTCGCCTGTTTCTTAAATGATACCCACTCGACTCTACTTTCTTTAACAAACATACAAGCAGTATGCGCAGCTTTCTGAACCTTCAGGAAGTTGATGACATGGTATTGTAGAAGTGCGTTGCTATTTGTTGTGACACACGTTTCTTGAAGGGTCCAGAGGCGATCAAACCAGCCGTGGAAGCAAAGACAAGAAAAAGCAGCCCAACGCTGCCTCATATCAATGTCGGTTTTGGAGGCTTCTTGATAATCCGTCAAACTGGATTCTCCAAGAGCGTACAGTTGATTTACAAGTTTAAGAGTCAGTTATTCTTTCTCTTCGTCATCTGGCCTACGTTCAGCTTCGCTGCGCCCAAGCCAAGCTATAACCTCGGAGGCGGAAGAGTATACACCTGTCATCATGCTTATCTAGGCCGAATTTTCATCATTGTCCAACTGGTTGATACAAAGCGCATGGATCCATATGACTGCTTCGCCAACTTCTCAAAGTCGCAACAGGGTGCAATGGCAGTTTACTGTAACGTAGTATGTTCTCACTTCTATCTGAATCGGAAGTTTGACGTTTGCATCACCCCATGCATACGACAAAGCTTTGAAACGAGGACGGGGTGTGGATCAAAGATTGACGTGCTCGAGGGTACAATTTAACGACGAGTAATATTCATCTGAAGGCTGAAGACGGAGGAGCCGGACGGGATGACAATCTGCTGTGTTTTAATCCAACTGGGAGTGTATGAATGCTCGGAGCGCGAATGTGGGATTCGAAGCTCCATCTTTTTCACGCCCACTAGCTCAGAGACGTGAATAATGTCGCGAGGCTATACTGAGGTTATATAGTAAAGTTGCATGTTGTGGCGCAGCGGATTTGGTACTTTGTATATTCTTGATCAGCAGGCACTAGAAATTGTTCACTTTAAATAGCGTAGACGCATTCTACCATTTACATAACAGATACAATATATAGATTATATTATCTAATAGGTTATAATTACTAGTGAAATTTGACCTTCCTAGGTATAACATACGAGATGAACTAGTAGAGACTTTATAGACCTTGCTATCGCTAAATACTAGAATATCAGGCCCGGAAGCGGAGCCTTTGGAAGCAGATTTAACTCTCTAAAGTGTGTACGTGCGGGTTTATAACCCCATTAGCTAAATGTTCAACTATACCTCTTACCAGCCATCAAGTATACAGTGACTATCCTTCTGCTAGAGGCCTGAATTCAGTCTGCAAGCCTTTCTTCATCATTGGAAGGACTTAGCTAAAACACACCAGGGCTTTCAAGTCAAGATTGCTAAAGTGGCACCTTGGATGTATATCGACCGTACGATTAAACGAAATAGGCGAGAAAGATGAAACGGATGTTTAGAATTGAGTTATTTGCCGTAGACGTCATTTGTCACTTTCCTTTCCAGTCTGCAATGATACCTTGGGATAATCCTGTTTTTCTTCAACAGCAGACATTGCGCTATGTCCTCTATAGCTCTAACTAACTGGAAGCCGAGGTCTAAAATCTTAATCCTAATGGATTTTAGAACGTCCCGTCACAGAAGTCCAAGGCCATTCATCTGTTTATCCGCAGCCCCTCTATGGGATATTTTGTTTCCGGCTAAATACAGTACCATCAATCTGGGGCCCGTCGGCTCTACGGCTACTCAAACCTGGGGTAAATTTCAACCATCATGCTTTGGTGGCTGATCTCCAGATTGTATATTATTGAAGCTAGCTTTCGGAAGGAAAAACGCCGTGATGTTATGCCATAGGCGGAGCGAAAAGCCTAAGATACCGAATAGATGAAAATCAATTTGATACCTACCAAAAGGACAAGGTCAGAAGACATTTTTGAACGAGTATTTCCGCCTAACTATTGGATGTGGTTTCTACTTTTCCATACTTCATGACTTTCCTATCACGAGGAGGCATGAAATATGCAGAATTCCGAAGAAGACGTTATGACACCTTCCGTCCACAACAGACCGAAAGATGTCCGTGGTCTTGGCAATATGAGTACACATGGTTCCATATTAGTTGAAATTGATACTACTATTTTCATCTTATATCAATAGTGGTGTCTTTCCCGAAGCTGGAGCAACGAGCTGACGATCTCTTTTTTACCTCGCCAATCTCAATCATGCTGTTTACCATTACTTTATTGGGTGTCGTCTCCACGGCTATCGCCCATGGTACCGTTTCCTCTATAGTTGCAAACGGTGTCTTGTGGGTGCCTTTCTTGCTTTCACGTCACGAAATGCATGCTAACCACCTATCAGTTTTGAAGGCTACAATCCATCATATCAATACATAACTCCCGCTCCTGTGACCGTCGGCTGGAAAATTCCCCAAGATCTTGGCAATGGATTCATCGCTCCTGACAGCTTTGCAACATCAGATATCATCTGCCATCTTGCCGCCACCAATGCATTGACGGCAGCGCCGATCGAAGCTGGAAAAAGCTTGGAGCTTTTGTGGACTCCTTGGCCGACAACCCATAAAGGCCCTGTTCTCGATTATCTAGCCAATTGTAAGATATCCCAAATTGGTCTACCTATTCATTTTCTATTTCCGCACATTTCAAGAGCGATGAGCTGCTCTTACGGAATTCTTCAAGACCTCAAACTTTCTGGAAAGCTAACTCCCCATGCTCTCAGGTAACGGTCCATGCGAAACTGTGGACAAGACTACCCTCGAATGGTTCAGAATCGACGCAGTTGGCCTTATAGACAATAGTCTCACAGATGGATACTGGGCCACAGACCAACTTATCGCAGACAACAACACTTGGACCGTTGTAATTCCTCCCACAATCGCACCAGGAAATTACGTGCTGCGTCATGAGATTATTGCCTTGCACTCTGCTGCCTCTGCCAACGGCGCACAGAGCTACCCGCAATGTGTGAATCTTGCTATTTCAAGCTCAGGGACGGCTACACCTGCCGGTGTTCTAGCGACGACCTTTTATTCTGCCACTGATCCGGGGATTTTATTTGATTTGTATGGAACGTTCACTTCGTACACTATTCCTGGCCCTCCGACTTATAGTGGTGGTGTTACTATTTCCCAGACGCTGCCGCCGACGCCCACGGCTTCTGCGACGGGCGTGTATACCGTATGATGGTCTTTAATGATCTGTTGATGATATATGGAAGAGTGCTTCAGACGAAAGGTGTCAATATGTGTGTAGTCCATTTTGTAATGGCATATAATACTGAGTTGATCGATTCATGTGCTGAATTGCAGCTGCATAAACCCGAGACTTCACTTAACGTCAAACCGCGCATTTATTCTGGCTTCTTCCCATACACAACGTAACTATTCTCGTTAGCATGTGGCTGCTTAAAGAGTAGAAGAAGAAACTTACAAAGGCTCATAAGCGTGAATGCTACTATCGTTCATCTCCTTCTTGACATCCTCCACAATGATCATTACATCTTCCTTACTCATACCTAAAAGTCTCGTAAAAAGCCCCATTATGATCCCCTCAGCCCCAACCTCCATATCTTTCTTGAACCAAGCACCAATTCTCTTATGAAATTCGCTCTTCGCCCATGTCCCAATAGGCCACTCCACAATCACCTCCTTGACATCCACAAAACCCACACTCTGCATCATCTCTTTGTACCTCTTAGGCACTGTTAAGTCAATCCCACGTTTCTGGCATGCTTCGATAATCAAGTTAGAAGTTCTAATCATAGCTGAGCCGTCAAGGGAATGATCGAAGGAGCGGATAGGGGAGCAGAGGTCTTGCATTTCAAAATACCCCCCAGGGGAGAGGGCATTGAAGGCTTTACGGAAAACAGCTAAGGGGTCCAAGAACCCGAAGACCATGAGACGACCGTGAATGTAATCGAAAGGGTGGGTATAAACCCAGTCATCGTCAACATCGTCCACTTCGAAGGAGAGATTTGGTGGAACGCTTCAGTTCATCAGAAAGGGAGCAGTGCAAAGAGTTACAAAGAAGACAGAGACTTACAACTCTGGTTGAATTGGACTCAGGTCTGTGCCAATGACTTTGGCTTGGGGGAATTGCTCGGCTATAGAGAATTAGCGTGGGGTTTCAGATTATCAGATAGGGTAAAGCCATACCAAACTCAATGGCCCATATTCCAGTTCCAGTTCCGATGTCAAGTGCATGCTTAACATTGTCTTCTTTGAGAGGCGCCAAATGAAGTCTCTCGTAGAGCGCAATCTTGCATAGATGGTGTTGGAGGTCTACATGTGTCAGTCTTTTAGTGTAACCCTAACTTCAGGATAGGGGTTCGCTTACCAAGTCTCTTTTGCTCTGGCTAAAATTTGAAGAGTTTGTCAGAACGAAATAGCATGCTTGATATGTTATAGTTCTGCTCACCTCATCATTTGGTAGATAATACTCTGACACGCTCGTTATCAGGTTTTCTCATCATAGCCGGGAGACTCAAACTCACTTCCTTCCTTATACTTATGATAAGTCCGTCCATTTTCTTCGACATGCTCATACAGACTCGGCGAGAGCGATGCCATGGCAGACCTTCAAAAGTCAGCTGATATTAGCTATATGAGATGGGAACCAAAAACATAGGCACTTCAACCTCTCCCTTGTCCTCGTAGTCGACCTATTTCTGATAAGCGTGGCGCGTTAGCTTCTCTGGCAACGCAAACTAACAGCGAGCTTGTCTCTTTTATCCATCCCGTGCTCACCCGATGGCACAAGCCCGAGATCAGGAATGAAGGGATCTTCAGCCACTGCCCGCGCTTCTTTAGGTGGTGATGCCATGTTTGAGAACCGATGGATCTGTGGAATGGGGCAATGCTATTATAGAAAGAGAATTTCAAAGCAACTAAGTTTCAAACAACGTCTTTTCTGTTTGCAAAATATCGGAGTGGGAGATACAAACAGCAATGTTGGATCCTCCCCATTCGGAACGGTCCGGTCCAACCAATATGCACAGCGCTGCATGATGCAATTCCAGGGGTATATCTTCACCAATAAAAAGGTTGGTTCTGATGGCCCAAAGAATACTGCTGCCTGCTGAACGCATATTTGAGCCATCGAAGAGATGATAGGTAAAAAGCATGATCTAAAATCTTTCGACTTTGAAAAGGCTGTTCTGGGAAGTGAAACCGTGTCGTGTCCCTGTCACTTCACCCCGCATTACATTCAAGCCACGTGAACCCCCACTTATCCGCTACCCTTCCTTCTCTTATCTCCACAAAAAGAAGCCTGACGGTGCACAGAAAAAGCGACATGAATTTCAAATGCTAGGCGGCATGAGACATTAAAACTCGATGAAAATTACTACTGTTGTTTATATCTAATCTGAGGAAGAAGAATAAACATTTTCTTTCTTCCACCGATTCAACTCCTCGAAGCATCCGCAATGACCAGCTTAGACTCATCACCAATTCTCCTCTCGGTGGACCTTCAACAAGGCATGGTCGAGGGGCCCGAGGAATGGGGACCCCGCTCTACGCCGTCCCTCGTCACGAATGTGCAGTATCTCCTCCAGACCTGGCGTGAAAATGGATGGCCGGTTTTTCATGTCCAGCACGACGATGTAGCTGACCCGACAAATATCATCAACTCCAAGTATCCTGAAACATTTAGAACGCACGCTTGTTCTGCACCTGTAGAGGGTGAGCCCATATTCGTGAAGAATGTGGGCAGCGCCTTCATTGCTCCGGATCTGGGTATAGGGATTGAGAAACTCGGAAGGAAAAGAAAGATTGTGGTCATTGGTATGGATGGTTCACAGTGTATTAATAGCACTACACGACATGGAAGTGATTTGGGCTATGACTTGATTGTTGTAGGAGATGCTTGCGCGAGTTATGGGATGGGTGCTGGATTTGATTGTGGGAAAACACATGAAGCTGCTATGCAGATGTTGAAAGGATATGTCCCGGTTGTGAAGACAGACGAAGTCTTGGGGTTTCTAAAGTGAACAGACACAATGTGTATTTTCGGGGGGTTTAATAAGAAGAAAACCACGGTGATACAATAGTGAACCGCAGTGAACCGCATACCGAACTGCATATGTTACTAAAGTTTTCCTCGAGACATTTAGCAGATAAGTATGGCATATTTCTAGTATTCTCGTTGACCCATTCCCAACACGCTTTTATATGCTGACCTGGCTTCGCAGACCCCACATCCAACACGACGTGGACTTTGACAGCTCTATCAAGCCGCTAGAAGTTCGATCTATGAGTATGAGATAAATTTTGAAACCCCGTCCACTCAGTCGCAACACACCGGCAACTTGCAAGACCATGTAAGCCTTTCTGTAAGTGAGGAAAGTCTCCATCAAGTCAAGCGTCGCGTAGTAACAGTTGCCTTTTGTAAGATCAGACGCCGCTGGTCCATGTACTTGACAAGAACTCCCGTAATTCCAAGTGCAATTGCTTTCCCAACAAAGCTCCTCGGAATTAGGGTCTCGAGTTCCCTCAAAAGCATAAACTTCATGCTCGCTCTCAACTAAAGTTGTTGTTGTGTTTGGTATCTCAAATTGGTAGATTTCTCGAGAGCGTCGCAAAATCAGGGCCAGGAATATATAAAACGCCATCAAGCTATGGGGTATGAAGTATAGTATCATGGTCCTGTTTTTCCTAGTAGACATATTAAAGTGTTGTTTCTGACTGTGGTCATTACTTGGATGAAACACCCGCAGAGCTGACACCCCGTAATGTCTCGTCGCCTAGTTAGAAACGATACTGACCTCTTGGGGTAACTTGCTAAGAACAGCGCCCCTAAACAGTAGTATATTAGCAATCTGCCTGAAAGCCTAGCTTGACAGAAACGTACTTTACAATGGCTGCCTATGCACCGTAGGGCTGGATTATTTGGATCTTGGAATGGTTCTCCTCAAGGTGGGATTTGAGGTATTCGGATGATCCAAAACCCCCAACAAGAAAAACCGCCTTTCTATCGTCAAAACAAACCTAATAGATTTATAGGTGGCTATACCTTGATTTTATCAGCCTTTAGATGATTTCACAGGACACTATTCAAATCATCAAAGACTTCATGACACCACTCAGACCTCAACTCTAGGACGCTTTAGATAAGATAGTAGACAAAGAATTTCACGAGAAACTTCTCCGACTCTGTAACGACGCTTTCGATCTCACACTCACCCTTCGGCGTTGCAAAGACATATATAGATGCGAGTTTCCCAAGCACGAGGAGCCAAACCATGACAAAGACTCGGAGGTACAGGCTCGAGAATGTCGCATTGGTAGTATATAGAGAAGTGATTGGTCCTCGGGAAGGCTCATGTAGTGGTGCGCTAAGTACAGTTGACTATAAATATCTGTCCGTTATGAGGAGGTGGGGGTTTGGAGTAGCTGATACACACTCATCATTTATCTGTGCCAATGCAATTTTCTTTCCTGAAGCATTCTCGCTCGATGCGACCGTCCAAATTACTGTAGGTGAACTGCGACCTCTAGTAATCTCCATTTGAGAGGAGCCTTCCCTAAATAACTTAAATATGCCATATGTGAGATCTCTGTCAGTCTGCTATAAAGTCTGAAAGCACCTTAAAGGGAGAGCTGCGGAGGGACTTAGCCACGTGACAAATGGTTAGATCTGGGGTGGGGAGGTGCGGTAAGGTAGGTATCCTTAAATAGGGATGTAGATGCGAATAGGAAAGGGATGAACATACTGAAGGTAGATACCAGAGGAGGTTGCAGGCGTGAAGCACAAATAAGCGTAGGTGGAATGTAATACAGTGTTTTTTTGTCCGCAATAGTTAGCTCCACGCTAACCAGCACAAGCAGAGGGTTTCCCGAATAGCTTCATCTTATTCCTATCACTCTGTCTTTGACTATATTCTATCATAAAAAGCTTCCCTTTCCTACCCTTCATCTTCTTTACCTTAAATAAACGCACCGGCTTTCATATAGTAGCGCTTTTGATCATTCGCCGGGGTCTCTACCTGGAGGATCACCAGCGCATCCGTCAGCTCGATTGAGAGCGCTAGCTTAGCAGCTGTATCTGCCTGTATAGATGAAAGGTCTTGTATAATGAGGTTTGTGTCTTATATTTGTGAACGGATTCTAGGTAAAAGCGCGGGCAATGTGGACGTTGCATTCGTTGAATAACAGGAAGCTCACAAGTGCATTTCCAGAATCCAAGGGCAGCAACTTCCTCTCGCAGCCCAACAAGCCACTTCGAAGGGATCAATTATACGCGCAATTGGCAAACTTGTGCGTTGTCAAAGTGAGCATCATCGCGGATCCTACTATTCCTTCGTTCTTAAATCCGACAAAGAGTTAGGAATAGATTCCAGAAATAAACGTGACCATGGAGTGGCGAAGGAGCCGCCCTTTTATATATCCTTGAACATGCTATGCACTTTTGACTACGATATGGTATCATATCTTCCGAATCAGCAGGTGTTGAATGTCTGTTCTAATATTCGGAAGCTTGCCCTTGCATCTTGTATTCAGGGGTGGCTTTACATAGCTCGCTTCCGTTCGCGTTCCCCGAGCCCCCGCCCCGAATCTGGGGGGAACCTTCGAAGACGGTCTTTGACTACCGGTTAATTGAAGTATCAAACGACCAAAGTGTCTTATGCCATCTTCAATCAAGATATTGCGTAGACTATGGATTTGTCGCAGATGAAACATATATTGGTTTTGCTTAGCCCTTTCGCATCTCAATATCGGATTGGTCTGATAGACGACCGTAGGATTCAAAGTTTATATCGCGGTAATTGTTTGTTTCAAAACAAAGATTAGAAAGTCTAGGGAGTCTAACTCTAATACTCCCGGCGTCAAATTCATGTTCTATTTTGAAAACACCTCATCGCATATTAAAACTTCTTCCAGAACGAACACTCGTGCCATAATACCAAAACGAGTTAAACACGCATTTAAACGCATTTCGCCTATTCCATTAGTTTAAGAGTGAAACATAGTATGGTTATTTATGCATAAGATGCATAACTAAATGGGGCCTTATGCCAGCGGAAATTAAACGTATGCACAATTATGAGGCTACTTGGCTTCCGCCACAGACGCATCCACCAAGGATTCGCTTCGATCCTTCACTTGGCGAAGCGAGGCCTTTGATAGGTCGAGGAAACAGTATTCGTCCTACGAATAGACAGAAAATACTAAAGCTTCATTCCTCCAGGCTTCGTCTACCGGGTGCGAAAATAGTTACATTGGAGGGTGAAGCCACATGTGGGGGTACATACAGAGTGAACGACTGGGCCGGAAGGTCCGTAGGATGGAAGGATGTGGATAGCGTATTAGAGACACATCTGGGGAGATGTAGAGAAGACTGTTATATATATCATTGCCAGCTTCTGGAATTGTTGGAGATCATTCTGCAACAATAACCGAACAGCAAGACCAACTATCGACTTTCTTTAAATTTCAATCTGCAGTTAATATTTCAAACCATCCATCCATTGAACTAAGACATAATAACAGCCTCCTCCACCACCACCACCACCACCATGAAGGGCACTCTTTCTCTCTTTCTGTACGGAGTCCTATCTGCAACCGCCGCCGTTGCAGCGCCCACTGACAGTAAAAACCCCATCGAGCTTACATTCGACGCCATCAAAGCCGATTTCGCTCCTCTTGATGGCCGATCCCCAGTTGCAGCA